TTTTATGCTAAATCACTTGTTTTGTCCCTAATTCTAAAGAAATTAAAAACATGTGTTTGACGAGATGTCGATGCAGATCGTTAACACTTCATTCATAAGTCCGCGTCGTCGACACGTTTTACCGCCATTGTCATTTTTTAACGGTTTTGTGTGTTCGCGAACCTCACCCTGTTTTCTCTCATTTTTAAAGGTCTGTTCTTTTTATATTTCATGGGGGATCAATTTGCCACAACAACTCGCGTGCCAACTGATACCTAGCTATATATCCAACTTTCAGCCATCACATCTTTCACTCCGTCCCGCTGCTAGGACATTCATTTGCGGATACGTTTACTAACTGAAAGCTCACGGATCCTACTTTCCACAACTCTTCTTGCAATGTCAAATCCTCCGCCAGTATCGTCTTTCATTATCACACTGCGTTATAATATAACATATTCGGTATTATCATAAAGTTAAACAAGCATCATGCGTTTCTCCTCTGAACTGTACCTGCGTGATTTCTGAGTGCAATTTTTTCAGCCTCGGGATAATGATGGCTACGGATTCAATTACAATTCTATCAAGAAGCATTTAGCCACAAAATGTCCTGCTAATGAAGCATATTGGGAAGAGTCAATATTTCCAATTCGCTAAACACATTACTCAAAATTTAACAGTATTACCGAACATTCCACAACATACGAGTTCATCCCGGCAATGCCTTGCCATTCTTTCTATCACATTGAGGTAGCATAACTACGACTTTAGGAAAATGCTTCTGTGCATATTCAAATTTACTATAAATCTTGCAGTCTATAGCTCCTGTTGTGGGACAAATTAAATAAAAAAATAGAATTTGAGCACTCATTGCGTTAATTAGATGGTGGTTTGTTGTCAGAATGACGCCAAATGCAAAATTATCAGCAAAACCAGCTTGTCTGAAACTTTTCAATTCCAATTTAAGAAAAATTTGAGTGTTCCTATAGATTTAAAACAGAATAAACAAATTTCATTAAATGTAAATTTCAAAAACTGATAATTCACAACTCAAAAAATTTTTCTGAGCCCGCCATATCAATATAACATATTATCGATTCAGCGGATTCTCATCGAACGAACTCCAGATTTAACGGCAAAATTTTCCTCGCGTTTTTAGTTCCGGAGCTTCCTAGTTACTTGATTGCTATGTACAACTCATGTACAACCTCAGAGAATTCAGGTAAGAAATCAAATTTGCATTGATTTTGGCTAACGTCATCGTCAAAAATGAAATTGTATATATAAGCGGCTGCCACTCACACGATACTTATAACACTAGAATTGTTTCGAATTCAAACTGATAATTTATAAATGTCATCGGTTTTACAGGCAGTCAGCTGTACTGCAATAAAATCAATGTTTGATTCCATTAAAGTCAGCCCTGTTCGATTATATAAAATTCACGCCTGATTTACGCAATTATCAAAAAATATAGCTGTTAAAAAAATCCCTCTTGGCGGAAGTTTGGAGAGAGCTCAAGCAAATAAGATTGGAAACTTGTCACTTTTTATAAACTTGATTTTCAATTTTCCTGCTCGTCATAAAACTGATGTGAACACTTCGCTTACAGCAGTCATGTATTGCAAATGCACATCTGAAAAGAACAATAGATCCATATTTGACCTTGTACAGAGTCGATCACTAAACTTTTGCAGAGGAGCGTAAATTAAATTAGAATTAATTTGTATATTTTACTATTGATAAGTGCCACATAAGCCAAGCTGAAACTTTACCAGTTTAAATCACTGGAAAATTAAGCGAGAGAAGGTCACGCAATAGCAGTACACGTGCATGCTTAGCCTATTCAAAATAACAAATTTTGTTTAGAAATTAAGATATGATGGATAAAAAGAAAAAAGAAAACATCTTACTGTAAAATAGAAGCTAGAACTGACTGATAAATTAAAATCTGTACACCTCGGCAGATGTCTTCCTGACAAATATGGCGTGATGACTTACACCATGAATGACGTATGTAACGCAATATAGAGTAAATGAAATATGTATGGGAAATTTTTTGATTTGCATGTAAACAAGGTTCAGGTGTGCTTCAGAATGTACAGTTTTTTAATTAACACCTCAGTTTCATATAGACGCATACAGAAGCACAATTCCCGAAATAGTCAGCAAACTGAAGATATACTGCAGTGTGATTATGAATAATTCGAAATAAAATTTATAGAAATTATGCGTTTCGTTAATGCCTCTACTTACAACCTCTACAGTGTAGCATTTATAGGAGCAGGACTCATTTTTGCAGCTACACTATGCAACAGTAGATGGCAGTAACTCCAAAGGCAAAGCTAGCTTTGTTTTTACGCAAAAACGTCGACAGGGCTCTGGGTTCAACTGCACATCGTATACAGGTCTTAGGAGACATCGCCCAACAAACCATTTCTTGAAATTAAAAAAAATCGAAACAGGGCAAAATTAGTGATTAAAATAAACACAGTAAATTATATCCTGTCACTTCTCCAGTTTCACGATGCGTAATTTCATCCCCGCTCTGATTCTAGTAGCTTAGGGGATCGTCAGTAAGCAGATCATCGCTCCATGGCATTTTCAACCGTGCCCTAAGCTAAGTGAAGTAGAAGCAAAGTGAGGGTGAGATTACACCATGTGGATGCTCACAACTGAAAGGAAACAATTATTGTTGCCAGCGGTATCGAAAACTAGCACGTTTCTAGCAAATTCGTAGTACCTCGGTCAATCCATATTCCTTTAAAAAATTTTGTATCACTTGTTTTCGCTTTTACTGAAATTCGAACATTTTAATGATTTTACATTATAGTACAGCGAAAATTCCATCTATTTTTTGTTTACACGAACAGAGAGATAAAACTTTCCGTTTAACTTTAAAGATAAACCTACAAAAATGTAGCAGCGTCAGTTCTAAAGTACTGCGCACCTACCTTTTTGCATATCAAATCTGCCTTTTATTTAACAGATGATGCAACTTTAAAACTTTTTCAGTTAACATTACGATTTAGTGAAATCCTTTGGGTCCCTTAAATCTTAAATTAAGCAGGTTTTACTGGATTAAAAAAGAAAGGCAAGGAAACAAAATTTTGTCTAGCAGCCATTCGGCGGAAGTTTTCACAACTTCAGATTCTAACAAGAAAAACCGACAACTTGCCTGCTCCCTTGAAGGAATAACTTTAGACTGCGAGATGACAACATCCATCGATGTGGCGAGAACCGCAGGTTCCCCGGGCGAATGACGCCGGCAACATTCTGCTTCATTTAGAATTGCAGTGATGACTTCATCTTTCACGTATAGACCGTTTTTGTCGAAACTATCATCTGCCTCAGGCAAATCAAAGTCAGGAATCGCTTCACCGCTAATCAGCTGAAAAAACAATCAATACATTAAGTCTATAGGCTACGAAAGTTGCAAGAATAGCAGGGTCTCTTACTCTGAAAGAAAAAAAGAAATATAGAACATATATGAAACATCTGTGTTGTTCCCTGCATATACCTAACCTCGGGGTCCACGTTTGGGAAAACGGAAAACAAATTTCCTCTCAACGCTCCCCTTGGGCTGCAGCAGCGCGAAGACCTTTCATGAAAACAAAAAAATGGCCAGCTAGAAACACACTGGGTTTGCGGAAGGACCGGGGATCACATTCTTGCATTTATCGGTGAAGATACCAGAATAAAATCATTTCGCTATGGCATCTCTTCCAATACAGGGAGTATATATATTTGAATGATACATTGTTGACTACTAAAAAACGGAGCATGAACAACCGTCCAGGAAGCGTTGAGGCAGAGTTAACATCCGCATATTTTTCGATTAAATCAGAAGCGAAACGACGATTCTTGATAGTGGCTTCTCAAAGTTCGCTAGAACGTGAAGTTCACAATCAACATATTGACGGTTTCAGCTCCAATACCGAGGTAAGTAAATGAATACTAAGAAAATAGGAAGTCACGTACTGTGCTGTCACAGAATTTTAAACATTGCTCAAAATGATGCACTCGTGGCAGATGGCACAGAAATGGAACCCAGCGAAACACCATAACTCTCATGAAGAACAGGTGCCGCCAATGACGCTCATCATGGAAATATAAGAGATCGACAACCAACAGTCAAGTTTACGTTTTTCCTTTTCAGATGAAGTTAAAAACGAAAGCTTGGTCTCCGATAAAATACTACAACGTAGCAATAAATGATCTCTTAACGTCGTTGCTCATGACCTACATAGTCCCTGTTAGAAAACCGTGAGAGGCCAGTTTAGGAAGTCATACAAAGAACCAGGCAGAAATGAGTTGTTTGCGACAGACCTGGATCAGAGCTATCACGAATGAGTGAACAGTCGGTGGCCCAAGGACTGTCTACTTCGCGCTAGCTACGGAAGCTATACACCTGACAGGAAGCCGTGACAGAAGTGGCAAGGAACTATGTCCTAAGCTACCTAGTACTTCAATAAATATCAGTATTTATTAATGCTATACAGAAAAAGCGAGATGTTAATAATGCCATGGGAGATGTATCTAGCAGTTGAGTGCTCAGACATCATGGAACGGTGACCTGAATATGTAGCCCTCTACGCAACTATGACTAAAGGAGCAGTGCAATACGTCATGAAATCTGCTCTTGGAGGAGTCGTTCGTAATTTGACATACTCATGTTGTTTACACGATGGAATCAAAGAAGTATTTTTTAGTGCAGAAGGACTCACGAAGGTACGAATAAAATGGGAATACAAGTGTCTTTGTGTATTTTGAATCCTTGGTTTCTGGAGAATGAAATAATCTCCTGTAGTAGAATCCGATATTTCATGGATTAAAGACTGAACAAAAAAGTTTTTTTCAAGCGATAAAAAGATAATGATAATAATCGTTAAACAGTAGGATACCAATATTTCGATCACTTAATTTTTCTCGTGAATTTCGTACCTGTGCTATTGGTTTGTTGCACTTCTGGTCAATCAGGAGAGAATGCCGCAACTTCGGCTGTTCTTCCGGACACTGAAATGTGGATCTTTGCAAAATGATATGACTTCCGTCTGAAGAACAGCCAGAAAGACCGAAATGTGCTAAAAAATTCAGTGCATCTGATCGATCGTCGAATTTCAGCTGACGAACAACATCGTCGATAGAGAACTGCAAATGTAAACCAGTGTCAGTGGCGTTTTGACTTGAGGGACAATGTTTACCTTTCCGTTAGATGGTCCATAAGCTTTCGACATTATCTGAAGAGCAGTAGAGCGCACTTTTCTACAGTGGGTGTGCAGCACACATGCTTGCAAGAAATCTGCCTGTTCGTCCAGAAGACGGAAGAAGGACACGTAATGATTACTTCGAAATGCGTTGTAAAATTTCAAAGCAAGTTTCACTTTAGGCGAGTTCCGTAAATTAGCCGGATAGGATAAAACTTGGCTAAAATATTCGCACATTCACTAAGAATCCATTATAACCGTAAAGAATACCCCAAAAACATCGGTACGTTCAAATTTAATAAGATATCCAATGCTCGAAATTCTTCTTCATTTTTGCAATCGACGCCTGTTTTTCTCAAATATTCATACGCGTGCTTTAAGCTAAGCATGCATTCGGCAATATTTTCTAGACGAAATAAACTTATTTAGTAATCAAGATTGCGCACTTAAATGACAGAAGACGTTCATAATCCAAGAAACAAACCATATACGATGGATTATCGCACCGCATCAAAGGGACATTTTCAAGAAGTCGTTTTATTAGCCTAGTTCAAATCAATCATGAACGGAAATCAAACATCGTGGCAGCCAGATCACCGATTTTCCACATGTATCACCACTGTCGAACTGAGAAACAACCATTTTGGAGATGAAGTAAATCATAAGAACTGAATCATTCTTCGACGTTGCGCATTTACTCTCTTCATGCGATATTGAGGTCTCCCACTGCATGATCTTCATGGGAGCACTACTTGTAATACATATCACTATCTCGAATACCATTTGGTTATGGCGACGTATATGTTATGTCATTTCATTGCGCAACGTGTCTGACCAATTTCAATTTGTATCTCTTTGTTGCCAGTACAACTTTCTTCACAATTGATGGAATTTTTCATTTGTTAGTATTTAAATATTCATGGTCTGCTGTGTAACAGCGTTTCGCTCATCATTTCCTTTATCACCTAAGGAAGCAGTTTCAGTTTCCACTGCGGACAGTACGGTAGTGTCGAAAAGTTGAGTGTTATGACCACCTCTCCTAAAATCTCAAGAACATCGCTGTAGCCATACCAACCGGCTCTTCTCTTCAATAGTTCTCAGCTTCTTTGTTGGTTATCTCCTGACCAACTGGATATGCTGCTTATAAAAAATTCGTAATCGTTTCATTTCCGATGGAAACTGGGGCTTTGGTATGGGTAGACTGTGAAAATGTGCGAAGTCTAATTTTAATTCAATGCTTTTTAATTCATTCGTCAAGTGCTTGATCATAAAAAAGTAAGTTTCGCGACATTATGGCACGGTCATTGACATCGAAATTCCTAGCTGGTCATTAAAATAGACAGAGGTCTCATTTATTACCAATCACACTGGAATGATGGGTCTTGAATCGTTTTACTGTCCATGCAATACCTGGTTCGTTACTAGTGGGGTTTCAAGAGCCCGTTATCATTGTGTGTGGCATTTTGGCACAGGGTCTAACAGGTCTCCTTCGAACTCTGGGGATGCCAGGATCGATTTCACTTGAGGACAATTTTTGTCTTGCTCACAAATTCCCTTGAGCAAGGAATCTGCCATAGGTTGTTTCAGATCGAGTAGCTCAGTAGTTAGAGCATCAAACTCAAAACCGATAAGTCCCGACCTCAAGCAGCGATCTGGATCACTCGCGTTTCTTCTTTCCGGTAATGATAAATGAGTACAACCTTGTGGGAAGTAATTAAGAGACTACCTCCACGCTTCCACATGATTGTTGACTGCGTTTAAAATAAAGCACTTCTGGCCGAGAGCAGAGAAACGGAGACCAGCACCGCAAAATGGCCCAATTATGAAAATTAAGGTAAACCGACATTCCAGCGGCAAAAAAACTTTCCTTTTCTCACTGTGTAATTTTGCTACAACGTCAGTAATCGCACTGTTGATTCATTTATATTACCCACTATTTTATGCGGATTATGAATGGGAGAGAAACAGCATCAGAGGGCCTTAACAATTATTTAGCAATTACACGGTAATGCAGGCTATTTCATACAGGTAAACCTTTCGATATTAATTTAGGTGATTAGAAAGGCCTGAAAACAGATACATGCGCGTACTCAGTAGTTTCTTCATTATCACAGATCGGTGTACCTTGTTCACAGTAGAGTCCTTTGTTTGTTCAACGCCCTGAAATCACTGAGAATGCTAACTCGATAAATCTAACGTTTTCCATCTGCCTCAATTCGACTACGGTAATTCAAAAGCACTGCGTATACTTCCTCGAAAATACAAGCTTCCGTTACGCTGTGGTTTGTCTTTCCCTAGACTCATGGCACCCCGCAGACAACCTGTCAAGTGGTATCGGAGGAGACCATGAGGTGAAGACGAACAAAACCAGCTGCGATATTAGTTGTGCCTGAGCTGCGTGAGCATAAAATTCGTATAAGTAATTAATAATGCAATAAGCAATACGCCCTTGGCTGAGACTACAACGCGCCTTCAAAAACATCGGCCTACTGTCTATAATCCAGAAGCAAACCCCTGAGTGGCTGTACGTGAGCTGCACAACCTCCATTGCTCTAGTCATCTACCCCATATTCCTACACAACTGATAGGATTTACGCCGTCATAGTCAAGTGTTACAAAAAATAAAACCTGTTACCTGTATTCATCCGTTGATCAAATTCAGCGATATCCAGCTCACATAAACGATATGCAGCGTAAATGTGAAAGCGTACGCATATTTCCAGACATCTTACGGCTACGTCGTCGGTAATCATCTGCTGAGTGATCTCCTAAATCAAGCATTTCTAGAGAATAAAGCAATTCTGCGTTGCGTAGCGTCTGTTCGACTCGACTAACTTTTCGTATTGCTCTAGTTCTGTTCCAGACAAAGTCGTACCACGATGGCAGGCGCGAGTTTTCCAATGGACACTGGGCTACCACGTCTCTGACCAAGTAGTTCATCGTCAGTTCTAGGGCCTCTTTGCTTCGCAACTCGTGAGGAAGCGGTTCCTCCTGCAAAATCGTTAAAGGTCTTTTTTGCACATGACGCAGCAAAGAGAGACGTATACCTGATCCGCAGATGATCGCACATATTCTTTCACTATTCTTTTATTGTCGATCAACCACTTAGCCTCGTCTTCTAGCTCATACCCAGCTATTCGCGCCTGAAGTTGGCGCTCGTAACGTTCCTTTTCCGGACACATCGATTTACACATCCCTTCCAACACCGCAGCACGTCGGACATTATCTGCCTTTATCCTTGCTGAATCGAAAAGTGGTTAATACTCTTTAAAGGTTATCGTTTAATAAAAACATTTCTCTCTTCGCCTCTGTTCATGAAATAACGGAATATTAATGAGCACTTTACATCATTCAAACAATCCAATAAATGAATCTACACACAATGAAACTAACGGGTGATGGCCTTTATTAGAACTGCTGATGTTTCAGCCAAACCACACTGGCATGCTCGAGGTAAACATTGAATTGGAGAAAGCATCGGCCACATCTGCAGTTCTAGTAGATACTACCATCTGTCTGTTTCGCTGTGTGTAGAACAAATCAAGTGTCAGTTTACTGAAGAAGACCCATGAAAGTGAAATCACGTTCAGAAACCAAATATTAGCCTCCCTTGAACAGATACATGACATGATTCACTAGATCATGTCGCGATTTCTAACGTGCAGTTTACTACTGTCGGTGGTATTTTGATAAGTTTGTTCCTTAATGTCATTAGTACAGTTCTCCTGATTTTACATGCCCGTTTTGTGCGCAGCATGGTCCTGTAATATAATCTTTCGAAAGCGGTCGCCCCCTTTTTCCCAAAGAAAAGAGTGCAATAAATTAATAATTTCCGACCTCGTATATTTTAAAAATGCAACAATGGGCGAAAGTGGTATCCATGGCAGAACCTATATGCTGTCTACATGATCTCTACACAGCTCTGATTTGTTTGTTGTATATCCGGTAGTTGCGAGTGCAAGAGAAATGTCACCACTCGCTAAGTCAACCTGACAACTCCTGGTAATGTTACTGACAATGCAATGTGCATACGTTAAGTAAAACTTAAACATCGTTGCTTTACATCTGGGTGTTATGTTCTTTTCATGCATCAGTAAACATGGTCATCCTCAATTTTTAACAAAACTGAAAGGAATTAACTTATGTACCGAACTGCAAACTCTCTAATTATGATTTGTCTCAAAGGCTACTTAGAAGAGTCTAGGAACTGAAGATTCTTTTCTAGAAGTCTTCTCACCTTCTGAATGAAAAATTCTCCGAAACCCATTTTATACACTCTGGCATGATATACAGCTTTCATGCAATCCCAATCAAGACTAAGCTGTATGGCAGTTCGATCTATCTTCATTTTCCACAGTAACAAGGGATGATATCATAAGTATGTTTTCTCCGTCATTTTTGCTTGTACATTAACTCGACGCTGTTTATAAAAAGAAACTGCACGTCTGCTAGAAATCTCTCGCAGATCATAACTACGGTAAAGCATAAACCTCAACTGGAATTGATTTGTTACAGGCACAGAATCAAAGCCTTTGGGGAATGTTACCTACACGTACATATGGTTACATAATAAATTTTGATGCATCTATAAACATGGAGCCATCTACACGCGTGCGATATGTCGAGGCACGCAAGGCGGCAGCCACAGCAGTGGCAAAAGCCAAG